ACAGGTGGGCGGTTTTCTGGCAAAAGGGGCATATGAAGCAGATGTGTGTCAATGAAAAAAAAAAAAACAGCAAACAAACACACAATGACAGTCAAGGTTTGCTTAACTTTTACGGAGAAAAAAAAAAGGATGCGAGCACAGTTTGTGATGGAATGAATTTCAGCAGCAGCAATAGTGACATGTGATAAGCCAGTTTTATAAGTGTAGCATGCAAACATTCAGCAATGATGAAAATGCATGACATGTTATTAAGTATAAAATTAGGGTTTTGTAGGTGAAAATTCACTGTCCAATATTTTCTTTGTTTACCTTCTATTAGTCATAAGCAGGCATTTACCTTCAGTGTCCATACAAAAGCCTAACACAAGCTTGATTCCGAGCCAAGAATTAACTGATATATAACTACGTATTTAAAAATAATCCATTCTCTTAAGAGGAACTTAGACTAAATTCTTGGAAGAAACCTGATATGAACTCTGCTTGAATAATGTTTATCGTTAATTTTAATATCCATTATGTTAACATTTGAGCAAACAGCATTCACATGAGTAAGGAAAATAATGGACCACTATTAGAAGAGGTGGTTTTGATCCTTTGACATGAATGCACTGCCTACACACAGATAAACCATATGCAGAATAAAAGATTGTCTAAGAAAAGAAAGAAAGAATATAGCAATCCCAATTAAAATTTAATGATTTTCCTCTTTGAATTTTTTTATGAATCCTTATTCTGAAGTTAATGATTGAATAAGACGAGAAGGAACTACTCAACACCTGAGTACCGAGACAATTTAGTACCAGAAAAACAATTTTTTTTTTTTTATAACTAAATAAAAGTTTAAGTATTAAAACCTTAATTAGTAAATATTTGTCTTCAAATAAGGCATTTGAAAAGGCAGCACGTAAAATATTTTGTTTTTAATTATTTTTTTAAGTAAATCAAATTATTTTTATAAAAAAATATTTTATAATGTAGATTTATTTTATTAAAAAATAATTAAAACAAAACTGCTTTGTTTTGCTTTTTTCGATTTACTTTATTAAAAATAAAGTAATTATTTTTTATATGGCATATCACTTTATTAAAAAACAAATTTGATTTATTAAAAATAATTAAAAACAAAAAACTGGTTCATATTTTACATAATGCCTTATTTGAAGAAAAATATTCACTAATTAAGATTTTAACTATTAATAAATTGCTTTTATTCAATTATATAAAAAAAAAAAAAAATGATGTTTTTTCAGTTGGCAGTGTTGCATTGTCCACCTTGAAACTTGCAGGTTCCATGACTATAAAATACCTGTGGAAATTACCTTATTGCATTTTCAAATATTTGAACTTAAAATATTAAAACCATAAGTACAAATGCAGGTCATTAAAGAAGTAAGAGGGTACAAATGAAAAGATTAAAAATTGACAAGGTTTTCCATTTCAACAAAGCAGATGTTAAATGCATGTAATTGCCGGCCATTGCCGCCAGTATCATTCCATCCTTTCACTCAAAACAGCATCTTTGATATACTCGTTTCTGCTAGGTTTAATTAAATAACATTAAAAGGTAAGACTAAGACTGATGAATCTCTCATTGGTTAAATTTCAGGTACTGTTCTAAATGCAGGCATATGGCCAAGGGTGGGTGGAATGCTCACATGCTATCTCAACTTAAAATATTAACTTCCCTTAATTTTATCCAACTTTTAAATCTTTTGACTGACAAGGAATAAATAAAAGGAAAAGTTATTTTATCCAACATATGAGAGAATTTGGAAGTGAGGCAAAGTTAAAGCTAAATTAAAACTATAAAGAGGAATCAGATAAGTTTTGTCTTTTGTCATGTGAAATATACTTTTAAGAAAAGAAATCAACCAAAATTCCTAGGAAAAAAAAAAAAAAAAAAAAAAAAAAAAAAAAAAAAAAAACAAATGATGAAGGAAAAGAAACAACTATTTTAAGAATAAAACAGCTTTTATTTATTATGAAGATGTCCAAAAGTAGAAAGCTTTCCAGTCCGTGAACACTATTGATTGGCACTTAATTCCATGACAAAATAAAGAAAAAAAAAAAATAGTCACATTGCTTTGATGCAGCAATGAAAGCAAGGCAGGCGGGAGGGAAAAGTGTGAAATGATATTAACTAGGTTATTTATATATATATATATATATATATATATATATATATATTATATATATGAGAAATAAAGTCCAGAAGGAGCTGGCTGTACACAAAGTCCAGTTAGTAATACAATGATAGCTTTTTTTTTTTTTTTTTTTTTTTGAAGTCAGAATAGCTTTACAAGTATAAATTCAATGTGGTTGCTGTAATTGCCATGAGCAGTAATAAAAAAAATTACTAAAAGCTATTTTGTTTTATTATTCTCCATATTTTATCTTAAAATAAAAAAAAGGCAGTTTTATTTTCATGTTTTTGCCATGTTATGAAAAGAAATCTTGTTTCAGCAATCATAAGACAAAATAAAAAAGAAAGGTATTTCATGTAGGTATATTTGAAAATTTTTTTTTTTTTTTTTTTTTTACACAGAATATTTATATTCCAAGCCCTGGGCATTATAGTTTTTACAAGTCTATAAAGGTATATTCACCGCAGTACAATGGGCAGAAAAAGTGAAATTTGCCCTAAATGTAAAACAGCCCAGTTTATTGATTTGAAACCAGAAATTGATTTAAATATGAATGTAAAAACATAACTATCTTTCAAAGAATTGAATCACCCATCCGAGGGGATATGTAGACGGGAAGTCAGAATGGAAAACAGCAATAAAGGGAAAGTAGGCAAAAGGGATCTTATCTTGAAATAAATTGTTAGTTAATGAAAAATATAAACTACAATCATAAACTGGTATTGACAAAAGAGAAAGGAAAACATTTGCATATCATAGTTAACAAGCTAGAGTTCTTGTATTTTTTTCTTTTCGGCTGAACTCTGAACGAGTGAAACTAAAGTAGTAAAATGTAAAGGAAACAAAGAATTAGATTTATCTTGGAGGGAGGGGCTAAAAAGAAAGAGACTTCAGCTGGACAATCAGAAGCTATCAAACAAAGTAATTTAACAATTGCTCAATTTCTTTTTTATTTAATTCAAGTCAAAACAGAAACTCTCTGAAATATGTGAAGAGAAGGCAGCAAAGAAAAAAGCTTTTATTTTTATTTAAGAAAAAAAAAAAAAAAAAAAAAGAAAGATAACTGTTACGGTCCGGAATTTAAAAACTGGATTTTTTTTCCTTCTATATTTTTAAATTTTTTTTTTTTTTTTTATTTTTTTTTTTTTTTTTGAAAACAAGAAAATATACATCTTTAAGAAAAAAAAAAAAAAAAAAAAAAAAGTTTCTTTAAATTGTAAAATTAAATTTTGACAACTCAAATTGTTTCAAAAATTTTTTCTTATTTATTTTGCTAAAATCAAATATATAATATATATATATATATATATATATATATATATATATATATAAAAAATAAAAAAAAAAAGAAAATTTAACATTTCATTAAAAATGAAAACCGTACAAATACAAAAAAAATTGAAGGGGAATTGAAGCTTTTTCTGCCCCCCCATAATTTTTTTTTTTTCTTTTTTTTTTTTTTTTTCTCAGAAGGAAAAATAAATACAAAAGCTATCAGCATTTCATCAAAGTCATTCCTTGTCTTGTATGAAAAGGGGGGAAAAAAAAAAAAAAAATAGAAAGAAAAAAGGCCTCAAACAATAAGCTAGCTTTAACCGTATACAACTATTTGACAATAAATGGTTCGGATTTTCAATTTATTTAATTTTTTAGAATTACTTTTCAAGAATTTGTATAGATATTTATATAAGTATGAGAAATGAAATAAAATGTATCATTATTCGCATTGTTAAAAAAATAGGACAAGACAAATGCTGACAGACCCCAAAAGCATAGCCCACATTGTCCAGACATATTTCCATAATTTAAAAAACCTTTCTGATAAGTGGTGAACTTGTTCTTGCTCCGAAAAAAGGAAGTAGGGCTCAAGATAATTGTTTTAATAAAAAAAAAAAAAAAAAAAATGACAGGAATATAAAGTAATGATTTTTAGAATGCTTTTTTTTTTCTTTTTGATCGTTACTTGATGGCAGTTTTGTAAAGGTTTTAACAAGGGGAGAAAAAGAAAAAAAGATTATCTTTAAATTCTTCTCTCCCTATATATCCTGATTATATCAGATTAGCCAGAGATCTAACTGACTATTAGATCTCAAACTACTGACTGTTTTGTTTTTGTTTTTGTTTTAGAGAAAACATTAACCACAGGCCTAGATAGATGACAGTTCAAAATGGTCACTAACACTGCCCATCTGCAATAAGAATAGCTATGCTAACTGGTCAGAGCTAAAACAAGAGCAGCATTAGACACTGAAGTAGCCACAAGAACTGGTCAGCTTAACATTCAGGCAGCTACTACAAACAGTAAAGTGAATGTACTAACAGCCGCATAAAATGGTCAGATGAAGTCTTTACAGTAGCTACAAGAACTGGTCTGCTAATTATTCAAATAACCACAGAATTGGTTAGCAACTCAATTGTTTGCTACAGTCATAAGTAGCCATCATTCTCATTTCTCTACCGACTTTATATCATTAGAAAATAAAGTCTTTCCTTCATTTAAAAAAAAAAAAACAAAAAAAAAATGATCTTTTAGCTTCATTAATTAATTACTGAGAAGTAAATTAATCAAAGTACATTTTGGCTTTTCTTACTGCAGAGCCTCTTTCTATCGAAACCATCAGAAACGATGTAAGGGAGGGGTGGGCAAAGTTGTGTTTTATTTTACATTGGACAGATGCTGAAGAGGTGAAGAAGGAGCAACAGAGACTGTGTCAAAAGTTGAAACTAGTAAAAATGACAAAAGAATGAGCAAATAAAGACTTTACTAATAATAATAATATTGTAGTGTAATACTAACTAATAGTCTAAAAATTCTTCATTACTGGTCACATTAGCATCATTTTCTTCCTGTTTTTGTCAGTAGTTAAAAGGAGAATAGAAAAAGAGTTTTGCAATAAACAGTAGATGATTTTTACTGTTTAATATCAAGACAGTAAAAATGGCTGAGACAAGGCAGAAACGGAGATGAATGGTGATCGGGCATCCACTTGGTGCTCTCATCAAACTAAAAAAAAAAATATAGAAAGTAAAGATTAATTTTTGAAATCAAATAATCAGTAGAAACAAATATAAAATGATAAACAAACAAAACTTAACTCTTATAGCATCATCATTACAATTGTAGAAACTTGCTATGTTATTCATCTATATAATAAATAACTTGCTATGTTATTCATCTATATAATAAATAACTTGCTATGTTATTCATCTATATAATAAATAACTTGCTATGTTATTCATCTATATAATAAATAACTTGCTATGTTATTCATCTATATAATAAATAAAATTGCATATTATTCATTATTCATCTATATAATAAATAACTTGCTATGTTATTCATCTATATAATAAATAAATAACTTGTTATTCATCTATATAATAAATAACTTGCTATGTTATTCATCTATATAATAAATAACTTGCTATGTTATTCATCTATATAATAAATAACTTGCTATGTTATTCATCTATATAATAAATAACTTGCTAATTCATCTATATAATAAATAACTTGCTATGTTATTCATCTATATAATAAATAACTTGCTATGTTATTCATCTATATAATAAATAACTTGCTATGTTATTCATCTATATAATAAATAACTTGCTATGTTATTCATCTATATAATAAATAACTTGCTATGTTATTCATCTATATAATAAATAACTTGCTATGTTATTCATCTATATAATAAATAACTTGCTATGTTATTCATCTATATAATAAATAACTTGTATGTTATTCATCTATATAATAAATAACTTTTCTATATAATAAATAACTTGCTATGTTATTCATCTATATAATAAATAACTTGCTATGTTATTCATCTATATAATAAATAACTTGCTATGTTATTCATCTATATAATAAATGTGAATGTCAGTGTGTCACACTTTTTCAACTTTACTTCTAGAGGCTGTAGCCCAACATATACCATTTTGGAATCAGGCTGACTGTGAGCAAATTAAAAACATTCTGGGCCAGATCCAGAACCATAATCCTGAAATTTTGGATTCCCACGTTTTCATTACTGTGATTGTTTTGGAAGATTACTTTTTTTTTTGTTTAAAAACATGATTTTTTTGCAACAAATTTTTTTGTATGACAATTTAAATTTTGTAATAAATTAAATTAATTGCAAAATCTAGCAAAAGTCACCCATGAAATAAAAATAATTGTTTGTACAGGAAGTAAGGACCTACGTACATCAAATTGTCTTTAAATTAAGTGGCAACAGAAGAATTTAATATTTAAGCTTATCTTTTAAAATAAATTAAAGTAATACTTCAATGCAGCGATCAATTTTGAGTTCTTCTGTAGTTTATTGTTGCCTATAGCAACTACTCATCCCTACCTAATGTGATGAAGTCCCAATCAAGTACCTTCCGCAGGATCTAGCTTAAATGTCACCCAATAGGGTGACTTTTAAGTTAGTTTTTAATAATACTTACTTTCATCTTAATTATTATTTGCTTTTTATAAAATAAAAAAAAAAATATATAAATGCTTGAAGTAAATAAACAGTGTTCCAATAACTTGGACCGCTTTTAAAAGGATTTAATTTTAAGCATCTAATGATTTTTTTTCTTTTTCTTTCAGATTTAACAACTTAAGTCTTTGTTAATCTTTCTATGGTTAAAATTGCCAATCAAACAACGTGTTAAAGTTATTAAAGCCTATCATGAAAATGGACATTTAAATAGAATTTGAATGAGAAGTACCCAGGTCATATCATCTCTCGAAACAGCAAAGTCAATTAGACACCATGCTCATGCAACTTGACGCCTTTAGATTTCTTCCTTTGGGGTCATCTGAAAAGTAAGCTCTATGCCAACAAACCAACAACAATTCAACAGCTGAAGGATGAGATAATAAGGCATATTGGTGAGATTGAGGAGCAACTATGCAGAGACACCATCAAAAATTTTGACCATCAAGTGGAGGTGTGCTGCCAAAGCCTTGGCGGACATTTGGGCAATATTATTTTTCACACATAATTGCCATATACTTAAATCCGTCTTAATGAAACACCCTTTATTATTTAAAAATTAATTGTGGTTTACAATGTTTCATGTAATAAAATAAAAGACAGCCTTACTGATAATTGATCTAGCCAAGTATTTAGTCTAAAAGATAAAATGAGAATAGGATTGGATTCACCATAACCGCAACATATTTTCACGTGTAGAAATATTATCTGTAATGTTGTGTTGACAGATTCAACAGTTTTCTTTTGATTTCTTCATATATTTGTTGTGTACATTGGCTTGGGAGAATAGTGATTCTGTTAGGAAAGGCGAGATTGGGAAAATATTCTCTTCAAACGAAGTAACTGATGTAATTTTTTTTTCAGTTGACCATATGGACATACAATAGTATTTCTAAATTCTAGTTGCTAACAACATTTTGTTTGTTGTTTATAGATACTTTGTTTCAATAAATTTACTTCATTTTTGCTTTGAAAAAGTCCATATTGGATGAAATTATTGATTGTGGGTCTGGATCTAAAACTACTTTTTTCCTATTGTTTTTTTCCTTTACACACACAATATATATATATATATATATATATATATATATATATATATATATATATATATGCATACACACAAGATAGTCTGAACAGCTTAAAATAGAAATAAGTGCAGGAACATTTTTGTTATAGAATGACATGAAATTTTTGGAGATTAGATTCTGTAGTAATTCTTGCAAATTAGATCAATCAGGTAAAAAAGATGATTGCCATCCAAAGTGATTTTGATTGCTTCTAGTCAGATTTGAAACTTGTGTGGATGTAAAGTTACATGCCAATTAGATGAGTAACAAGTGACATATTGCTAATGGCTACATTCTAACAGCCATTCAAATGGCCCTCTCTCATCCCTAAAACAATATAATGGAACTAAAAAAAAAAAAAAAAAATGAGAAGAAAGATTACCAACTTACTTGAGAGTGTTATCAGCAGTGACCTGATCAGTTGCCTATTCAATTTCTTGCATGTACTCAATCTTCTCAACAGATAAATCTGGATTCATTTCTGTCACTAAACGAATAGCTTCAGCAAGTGCCTTTAAAAAGAAAAAGAAAATAAATGAATTTACAAATGTCTTCATAAAATTGATCCATATTAAATATAATATTGATATTAAAAATCAACACATTATGAAGCAAAAGTTAGCATCATTTCAATTTGCAACAATCTGTTTGCCTACTTTGCATTCAGATAGTGTTCAGAATTTAATAACAGATGTACATTTATTAAGCTCTTAAGAGCTAAAGATTCATTTACAAAGTGAGTGAGTGAGAACAAGAGATGTTCTCTCAAGAAATAAATGTAATAAAGAATATCTAAACAAAGACATGGGTCATGAAGAATAAATTCCTTTCACTGTTGACTAATGTACTGATTAAAACCAATGCAGACAAATTGTTTGAATGTTGTTTAAGCTTAAAATATATCATTTCCACAATAAGGCTGAATTGAAATCAAATAGAAAAATAATTTCAAACAATGATTCAACAGTGAGTCATATGACAATATTTCAAAATTTAGTTACTTGAGACAAATATAATTCTGTTTAATAAAAATCTGAAAAGCAAATTTATCTGTAAGTGTAAAAGAATCATTAACAGACTCCATGTCATAAACAATGTTGTGGACCCAGAATAGGTCCAAAAGAAAACTCAAATTCAGCAATTTAGTGAAAACAGATTATTAACAAAAAGAACGAATACAAAAGTGTTGCACGTCCAACTGACAGCAAAGTACAGTAGTCAACTCGTCAACAATATTTAACAGTCATCCCACGAGGAATGTATATGGCACAAGGTCGGGTTTAACGTGAGTTTCTCCGAGCCCATAGGCTCACCCAAAAAATATACCCTTTGAACCTGCCTAAACGGGTTTAGGGCCTGTCTACCTCCCCGGACAAAACTTTGCCTTTCAGCAAAGCTTTGTCTGGGTTCCTCTCTGCCAAAGCAGAGAGTTCGACAGCAGTCATACACAGAAGACGTACATGTAGTCAACTCGTCAACTGTAGAAAGCTCTCTCTAGAGGCATAATATAGTAATAGGACAAGTCCATTTAGTCCATAAAGGTAGGTCCTATGGGACAAACACAAAGCATAAAACTCAACTGCCAGGGTGAATTGATCACCCTGGCAGTTGAGTTTTATCTTTTAGGTAAGAAATACTAATTTCTCTAATCTCAATCATTAGAGAAATTAGTATGTCTCGCCTACAAGATTCTAATTAAATACATTTCACAAAATCAACAAGAACAAATTACAACAATAAGACAAATAGAAGCTAAAATCAGAAAAGAGTTGAAAGTAAAAGAAATGTTGTTTTTTTTAATTTATAGTTTTATATCATAATTCCTTTTTCTTGATTAAAGAGAAAGGATTTTTTCATTTCACTCCAAGCAAGGCAATAAAGCTACTAAGAATCAAGGAGTTACTGAGTGACAGAGAATATATAAAAAAAAAAAAAAAAAAAACCCCAAAAACAATACTATCAAAGCGAGAGAACAATAAAAGAACAAGAATTAAGAAGACAGAAGATAATGATTGACATTGCATTTAAACTTTTCAAGATCAAAGTTGACGAGGAAGCAAGAAGCCAGAAGAGAGTTCTACAAGTGGGAAGTACGACAGAAGAATTTTAGCATAGAACTTACAGTTACATCTAGCCATTTCAACTGTAAATTGATGAGATCTTGCTGCCAATCTCGTACTGCACTTAAAGTCTAGGTACCAGAGAGGAAAGTTCAGAATAATTACTACGACAGTATTTACAGAAAAGACAGAAAGAAGTTATGTTATGGCAGTGGGGAAACTGACTGTAGTAGAGATGCCAGGTCAGAATGAATAACATTGCAGATTCTTCTTTAGATTTCATCAAGAATCTCTAAATACATAGAAGCACCAGATCAAATGTGGAAGCAATATTCAAAGCATGTTCAAATGGTAGACTATGCAAGATAGATTGCTAAGGAGTGATGAAGATTAATACAAGAGAGATTATTTCCTTCTTCATTTGTAAATATCTATTTTTATTGAAAGATTGAAGTGCAACAGTTAGAATACAGAAATAATGACAGTGCAAAGTGTAAAGATGCTACTCACTGCATCATGGTCAATGTTGTCATTATCACTTGTGATGGTTACTTTTCTTTCCACTCTGGTTTCTACGACGCCATCCTTTTCAGTTCGGTACTGAAGAAGAAAATAATGACAGAATATCAATGGAAAGAAACCGAGAGAAAAAAAAAAAAAATGTGCAGAGGGAAATCAAACAAACATCTCAAAATAAAATGTGTATGATTTTCACGTAAAACAGATTTTTTTTTTTAATGAACAGTAACTGCTACCCTTGAAATCAACAAAACTTGATATATTAAAAATCTAAATAAGTTTACTATATTTCATAGATATTAGTATCCTTTTAACTTTCTTCTATAATATAAAATACAATTTAACTATATATTTACTTATTATCCAATCTGTTCTTTTTCTCTTAGGAGATAGTCCATTATTAACACAGACACCAATCAGTGCATATAACAGAATTGCTCATTAGTACATAGACGCTGCTAATACACTAACTTTTCTTTTACCGATGTTAGCAATCTTTGGAAGCTTTTTTTTCTCTATTTTTAACAAATATAATTTGCTTATACAGGACAATAGAATTAGATTTAAAAAAAAAAAAAAAAATCCTAGATTACTTATGAAGAAAATATATTTTTTTTTTTTTAAGAGTTGATACTTTTTAAATTTTGCTGTCATTTTTTCACAGTAAATTAATAGGCATGTAGAGAATGTCCTTTTTAAATCTATATTTTGCCCAAAGTTCCCGATTGATTTGTTTTCTATGCCATAACCCATTGCAGGTTATTTAAAGCCAGAAATTATTTTTAGATTGGAACAATTATTTTTTTTTTTAAAATAATGATTTTAGCGATACAAGTTTTACTTATTAACACACAGCTGGAGGAGAGAAGAGATGGATTCATACCTTTCCCAAGGGTATTTGCGTATAAGCAAATATAATGAACCCAACTGGAATTGGAACTCAGCTCTCAAATGAATAATTTTGAGCCATTATCCATTACCCCACTTGCAAATCCAAACTTACAGAACCTTGTTTTAGGGTGGGTGTTACAAGTATGGGCATTATGTGTGATTTCTTCACAAGGACATTTCTAATATAAATTGTAACTGATACCATATGTTAAAGATTTTGAATCCATCCACACTTCTTTTTTTTTTTTTTTTTTTACAATGAATCATTAACCAGAAAACACCTCAGCAATAATAAAAATTCTCCTGTTCATCCCCACAAGTTTAGAGCTACCAGAAAGATATTTTTAAAATAATCATTTTATTATGAATTCATATACAAGACAACATCAAGTCAAAAAATCATTATCATTGAATACTTGGTTATTTTCAGTGTCAAGGAGATAATGGTTAATCCTTTTTAGGGTTAATCCTTTTTGGCAGCTCAATACTGGAAATTAGAATTCAAAATTCCAACTGTGTTTAGGTTACATGCAACTACAACTCAAAAATAAATTTTGAATCACTTCCAACAATGAAGACAAGGATAACAACATCAGATGCTTTGGAAAATATAACAAATATTCATTCAAAAATAATGACAGCTTCATCAAATACAGATTAACAATAAGTGCTGTCAAGTTTCCACAATTTTATATATATATATATATATATATATATATATATATATATATATACACACACACACACACACACACTGAAGCTGCAATAAAAATATTTTAATTAATGGCATCAAATCCAAAAAGAGATTCAATAATCAAAATGGTTAACTTTTGAGTTTTCATGTAAAAAGTTCAGGACAATAACATTTTGCCAATGCAATTGACAAACTAAATGGTTTAAACAAAAATTATTCCAAACAGACTAAATTGGAGAAACAAATTTAAATAAGTACAAATATAGGGAGAAAAAAAGAAATTTCTGAAATTACTTTTAGGTAATGTCCTAAGGGAGGTAACTTAGATTTTTCAAATACTGTTTAATAATACAATTATAGCAAAGTAAAACTAAAGCTAAAATTAAGAACCAGCTGATCAGAAGTAGTTCAGCGATTTCCACCACGTTAAATTTCTGATCAATTTGAATGTAATACTTAAAAGTTACCTTGTTTATCACTTAATAGTCCTCATCTTTCACATAAAAACACGAATACTTTTTTAAAAATCCTAAAAAGTAAATCTTATAAATTCCTTTAAAATATATAATCTACTTTGCAAGCTCAAAAATCAACCCAAAAAGTTGATAACTACAAAAAGTTTTTCAAGTAATGTTACTATTCAGCAAATATTAAAATCTCAATCAACTGACATTTAACTTACAAATAAAAACAGTTGTAGCAAAAGATTCATAAATTAACTGCTTTGCAAAAACAAAGATCTATAAATACTTGGGGAAAGAAACAAACATTGAAAATTGAAGACAATGTGCAAATGTCTTAAATTACATTTTATTTTTAATGCTCAACTATCAAAATGTCTCTCGTCAATTAAAAAGAATTTATAAAATTAAGGATTCAACAGAAAATGTTCTATACAGTGTTAATATATATAAAAAAAATATCAAAAAACCGTAAACACAATGTAAGGCAAAGTAATACATTTACAATACTGTGTGTATGAGGTCTGATCAAAAAGTATCAAGACTGTTGCTATATTAACAAAGATGATTTTGTAAGCCTAGCTGTGGCACAAGGCTGAAAGTTTGGGGCCTCCACTGAGGACTGAACTCTCTATTCAGTCATAATTGTTCTAGCTTTGAGCTGCCCGAAGTAATGGGAGCTAAAGTACACAGAGTAAAACCACTTGGCACAGATTGCCATTGAAGTATCACGTCTTACTTCCATTGTTTATAGAAGTGATTGGAAGGGAAATGTGTAGAGTGTGGTCATCTCAGCACACCACAGAAGTTTCATCAGTGACCATGGCTTGTGCAGCAATTTTAGCCAAGCACAAAGGTCCGACAACCACCATATTCCCCAAATCTCGCCTCTTGCAACTTATTCCTCTTTCTAATAATCAGATACCATTTGAAATGAAGATTTCAAGATATCCAGGAAATCCAATCTGACAAAGCAGCTGCTTGCTATACTTAAAAAAAAAAAAAAAAAAAAAAAAAAAAAAAAATGCTTCTATAAATGGAAATGACGCTGGATAAAGTATGAGGCAGAAGAAGTGGGGTACTACAAAGGAGATTAAATGCCAAATTGATATATGTTGTAATTTTCTTTTATAGCACTAATCCTGATTCTATTTGATCAAACCTTGTATACATCTATGTAAAGTCTACAATTGTTTAATGCAATATAAAACCAAGAAATAATTTCTGTGTATTCCCTTAATCCTTTATCCATCTAATATGTTGCAGCAGAAAAGAAAAAAAAAAGTTATAACATTAAAATGCAAATTAACAGTTATCAGTGTAGAAGATGGAATTGGTATCCTATGATCAAATGTTTTTTCAATAGTATGAATCAATCCCGTCACCCTCTTCTCATGGTAAAATAGTTATCTAATTAAAATACAAATACTAAATCAAAAATCCTGATTAAGTAAAGCTGAGTATGGACGTGAGCAAAAACTAACAAATCCTGGAGAAAGCACTTATCCAAAATGCGAGAATAGGTCTATATTCAACATTAGTATATGCAAATAGTCATAATAGAATTTAGCTAAAACTTAAGTCTTTTTTTTAAATTATATCCCGAGTGCCTATCAAGAGAATATAATTCAAATCAGGTTATCTTCATTTTTCTTAACACTATTGCCCTAAGAAATTTAAATAATGATGATAAATATTAAATTTTGAGTAAAATTAGTCGAGTATCAAAAGCAGAGAGAAACATCAGTTTGTAATGAAAATATTACAACTAGTAGTATCAACACGAGTTTTAAAATTACAATTGAAAAGTATCAGGCAAAGTGTAAATGAAAATTTTCTAGCTTTATTCTTTGAATAGAAAAACCATATACAAGAAATAAAAGTCAATAACAAATTTCAAAGACTAGAATAATTGGCAAGTAAGAATGTAAATATAAAAAAAAAAAAAATTAAAACAAATCGCAATGTGTAACCCTCCACAACAATGATAAATAAGGGACAAAAATAAACTTTAAAAAAAAAAAAAAAAAAAAAAAAAAAAAATGTACAAAAATTAAAAGTAAAATATAAAAGATTTTAAGAGATTTTGCCAAGTGTTCCAATAAGCTGTAAAATGAAAATAAAAACCTTTAAGAACTGCAAAAAGCTTAAGCATTATATAAAGCTTAGACCACCAGGAGACATGTGATACCCTTTAATTTTCTTCAAAAATATTTGAAGATTGAAAGATATTAAATAGTTTGAATGTTTTGAAAACACTAATTTGCTAATAATGTATTCCCCCACATCACCACAAAAATCAATATATGATCAAAAATCAAAATTTTTAGCAGTTTTTGACAATGCCTATTCATGAAAGAAATAAAGAGTTCACATCTCTTTAAAAAAACAATATTAATATAAAGAAAAAAAAATCTAAATAAGTAAATGGCAAATTCTGTCTGTCTGTGTATCTGTAATCACTCTACTTTAGGCCACACTTGCTTTACATAAACATATACCTTTTCGGAATCAGGATGATCCCAGGATTGAAAATCTGCCCTTCATCTAGTGCTTAAACATCCAGCATTGGGATTTGTGTCTAGATGAGGAGGGGTCAGTTAAAAATTAAAATTTTAAAATTACTGGAAAAAAAAAAAAAAAAAAAAAAAAAAGTGATTCTAAGTTTTTAATTTATATTGAGTTTAAACTAACAAAAGCTTTGTCAATTTAAAAATTTTTGTTTTAAATTCAGTTTAAAATAGCTCAAAAACTTTGTGAATTTAGGACATCGATTTTATTTCTTCAAAATGCCAAAGAATCAGAGTTAAAGTGAGGTTTTGAAGTTCTAGAGAGTTTGTGATTTGAAGAACTCAATTTTCTGTCTGAATTGGAATTTTGGCCTGAATCAGAGTTAAAGTGAGGTTTTGAAGTTTCATGTAGGGAATTTAGGAATTCAAAAGTGATTTCTAGGCTGGACCAGAGGTCACTTTAGTTTTGGGCCAGAAGCCAAATTAGCACCACACAGGAGATACCTTAAAATTCCTGATGATGTG